GGTTTCCTGGCGCAAACGCCAAACACCTACTGGCTGTTTAAGTACGCCTAGAGTGTTAGCTGTTTTCGGCACATGTACTCTACGTCTGAAACCACTCGAGGAACAGGCGTCGAAAATGCACACGTAAAGTCTCCTTTTTCAAAGAAGATATTTGATTTCAACACGGATATATACTACTTGTGGCTGTTTACTGCGTGAAGGACTTCAGACGCTCATGCAAAACAGGATATGCATGTCCCGTAATTCTGCCGGCGAATGCCCTCCCAGCATAATCAGTATGTCCGACCCCAGCCCAAAGGATAACGAGCTCCTCGGTAGAGAAGTGCCGCAAACCTGGGTTGGTGTGATCCCGCCTGACGACGGCTAATGAGCTCGAAACGACCATCTCATTCTTTCTTGCAGCTGTCAGTACCACTTTATCAACAAATAATGCTGACAGTTCAGCCATTGTATCCGACGATGTCCCCTCTATACTCCACACAAATGTGAGGGCAGGCTCGGTGACTTGCGCGTGAATTATTTTGCAGTGAGAGTGGACTTGTGCAGAATCTACCGTACTCTCTTCTCTTGCCCCGTCTGGGCCCGATGTCGAGGTACAGTCGAGAAGACCGGAGGCGGGAAAGCGTGCATGTGGCAGGCGCAACCGGGTCCGCACCTAGGCGCACCATCCCATCCCCTGGTTCACAACAAACACTTGACCAGGATTTTAACCAGCAACAAAAATCAGTCAGAAAGAGAAGAGGTTGATGCAAGTCACTGGGCAACCATGCATATGGCCTGTTTACCCAGAGAGAGTGCCAACACATTTACCGGCAGGGATTCAGAGAACTGTCAGCGCACACCAGGCTGTGAGGGCCATAGCTAGCTTAATCACAGCATACCACACGCACACACAATTCTTAAAACCCAGACGAGTAAGACGCCGTCCCGCATTTGTCGGCGCCATCACCCTTCAAAGGCCGGGTAACCAGTCAGTCATCGACTGAGAGGCGCTATCCACATACACATATAATAATAATAGTTGCTATGAGACCGCCTGCGAGACTCCAGATCGAGCTCCAAAACACAACAGGAAGAGCAGCTACCGTAACGCGATCGGCGAGCGCTTCTGCCTACGATTAAATATACACATTATACATTTGTGCGATAACTAGGTGAGTTGTTGAGAAATGAGCCAGTTGGTCATTTTTCATTCGTAAAATCTGATTAATTGCTTGCTTAAGAGACTGCGACAGAAACTGAGCGCGTATCTCATAGGCCAGTTTTTATTCGTGGAAAGACTTTAGTCTGCGATGTTAGCACCTACAACCGTAAAAGGTTCTGTAATGGCCCCCTTGGTAAAAGTTGTCAGCCAGAATTAGGCACCTGATCAGTGATGTCTTCTGCCTTACAGAGCTAAGATTATAATCTTACTGTTGGTCATACGTTCTAGCTAGGTGTTATCGATTATGCGCAGCGTTTACTAAGTAACGTCCTTCACTGGGGAGATTAGGTTTCCTAAACAATGAAAAACGTCCGCAATTTTTGCTTAAAAATTCTGCATTTAACCAAGGCTCTATGGACACCGTATGGTTAATTAGTGATTCGATTTTTTATAACTTCCTAGCAATTGCGTTTATAACTACTAATGTGGAGCTGGAAAATAAATTTCATATTGAAAAATCACCATAAGATTCGATGACACATTTTAACGAACGTGTTTGGCTTTTTGTATTCAAAAACGGCTATTGTTTCTGTCTTTTTATAGCATGAGTTAATTTATTCATGACAAGGCAATATTCGCATAATTACCAGTTTTGTCGCAAACTTTCCAAGGAGTACAAAACACTGCATAAGCATAGGCTCGACAGTTTCAGTGGTTTAGGCACCGCACCACATATAAAAATCCTGGCCGGCATACTGGAATGTCCACACCATTTCTTAAAAACGCTAAGAAATTTGTGTGCAAATATGTTGAAAGTAACGGAATTTTTAGAAGATGATCTAGGAGAAACACGGACTTTCAGTTGGATGAAGACAGAAATATTACAAACGCTATTTTGTTGATTTAAAACTATAATTTTGTTCAAAAAGAAAAAAATGTTGAAAACGCTAAAGCTTCTACCCATACTCATACAAAACCTGACTAAGTGAAACCCTATAATTTCCGTAATGTTTAAAAAAGTATTTTATACATTTATTTTTACTAAGTACTATTCGAGAATGGGCGTTTTGGGAAATCGGATGTTAAGTCAACTGCGTAATTTCTGGTCATATACTTCAAGATCTTGTTGAGGAAAATAGATTTAGTTTTCTTTTTGCGTATTGTTCGAGTTGCAGTCAACTAAAGCAAATGATTTACCTTGCTGTCACCGCTACAGACTTTACGGAATAACAGTCTTCATAAGATCACATGTAGACAGATCGTACGGTTGCTATCAGATTTGAAAAAGATTGGCAAGCGCATTCGTAAGCATTCCATCTTATATATATTAAAATGACATTTCTTCCGTTTCAAATTTATGTGTGGTTTTGCTGGTGGTGGATTCCGTCAAGTTTCGGAGTGTCCTTGAAATGTCAGTGAATGCTTTGCAGTTTTGAACGTCTTCAACCGATTTAACATAAAGATAGGTCCCGTACTGTGCATTTATCAAACTCTTAAATATAGGATATTTTTCTGAAGGCATTTACTGGCAGATGCCTCAGAATATTTCGCAAACCAAATGAAAATCTTGCTTTACCACAAGTAATAATTTACCCAAGGAGAATATGCTGCATCAACCAGTGTTTTATGAAAGCCGTTTTTTAAAGGATTTGAGAAAGTATGTAGTATTTTGATTTTCATTGCAAAATAAGGTTCGAGGCATTTATCTGGTTCTGAAACATGTAGCTGAAAGGAATTTAGTGAATAACCTAGCTCTTCATTATCTGGACTCAATGTGTTAATACATTTCACGTTAAAAATTACACGGACTTAAATTTTTCGTTTCCGTAGTTCAGATTCTGTGTAATTAAGTCATTTCTAATCTTATTGTAGTGCAATTTTGAAACAACTTAATCTATCTACTTTGTTATGATGGAATTTCAAAATGCTGGCTAGAATACGCTATTTCTGTAGGTCATCATCCTCAGTCCTCCGTCTGCAAATAAATCGACAATTTGCTTTCGTTCACACCAAATTTAAGCGAAATTTTTGTTGGAAGTTTAAATTGATATGCTAAGCCAGAGGCGGTTTTGCAGATTTCAAATAAATAACTTTGAATAAACTGTGAAAACTGGGTGCTTCGGTGGAATTCGAACCTACGACAGCTTCAGCTACACGGCCCACCAGACGACGCGCGTTTGATGATATTTGGGTCAAGCTTACCTACTGCAGCGTCTAGAATCCACCAAATCTGATGCAGTAAGCTGGCTGCCCAGGCGGGATTTCCTAAGTTATACATCTAGAATCCGCCAGATGTCTACCAGGCTCACTGTAGGGGGTTTAAATCCCACAGATGGGCCGAGGGGAATGATATGCTAATTGTCCACACATATGGTTGTTTTGGCTTTGAACTAGAAAAATCCTGCCGAACTAGCGTTCTGCTTGCATCTTTATGCATGCTTTTGTTTGTTTCATATGCAAGCTGTTTATTTTCTCATGTCTTTTCTGCGCATATGCCCTTGTGCTTGTTGTATGCACATTTGGGAATAATGACACAATAATGCGCACAGTTAGAATCAGAAACAATTTTGAAAAATCGCGTGAAACAGAAATGTAAAAATACACAAATTCATGAATGACATTCATGGAAAAGTATGCGACAACGGCAAAAGAGTCGTAGCAGCCATGACACCAACTAGTGGGCACACGCTGCATGCAACGCTGAGACTTAAAAGACACATGGCTACAAAAGTCTGCTCTTTTTTAAACCGATATAGATTTGTGCTTCAAGCTTACGTCAGTAAAGACCTATTTTGGCTATTGACATATTGCCTAAACTACGAGTTATTTTCTGTCGAAATTGCATTATTAGGCCTACTTTAAGTTTCATCTAGGTTACGGCTGCTAGTGGGATGACGCCGGCGACATCAATTGCATTTTTAATACTAGAAAGAGGAAGTCTAGCAGAATTTAGATAAGCATAAGCAAGCCAATTTTAAATCCTTAATACCACTATGACTAAGTCATATGCTTAACTTCATAATATTTTATGTGAAAACCCCTTACCAGTATGCCGTGGCAAGCGCAATCTAAACCCCGTAAATCTAGCAATCTACAAATCCACAAACGTTAGAAATGATTTCGAAAATCTTTCTTTCTTGGCACAAGAATACGTTGAACTACTACATGCTCCACCTGTAATCAAGAAGAACAAAAGGACGTAGAGTTTTTACATACTCTCTAATCCGGTATCTATTTCGATTGTCAACTTTGATATGCTTTATTGCGGACCTTGGATTTAAATGAAAATGCTTATTTTAAAATCTGTTCTTGACGACTACATGTATGATATTTCCTATGGCAAACACTTTGTTAGCCTGAGACAGGACCTCAAGACAGGGCTGTCATCGCCCCAAACGAGCATTAGAAGTTGGGAAGTGGTCTACCAGTTAGTCCCAAATTCCTGCATGAACAGCATAATGGATCTCAGTGCTGCAAACTTCTAGGACTTCAGCTACACATGGCACTGTTTTTAAATGAGGTGTACTCCAGCAATGGCTCGTTCTAATTACGTGACTATAACATTTTTGCCATATATGCACTTTGCAAGAAAAACCATCAAAGATAGGAATCAAAACGGCTTCATAAGCAAACATTTCTTTTGCGAATAGCCCTGGAAACCATAAACTGACTTCCTTTGACGCTCTGACCATGTAATTTGACTATAAACATCACTCTTTTTATAGAATGGAATTTTTTAATTATTTAAGTGGCACTCAAAAATACTTTATTTAAAGATAAAGTTCACGAAGGTAGGGACGACTTGGGTGAATAAAAGATATTTATTAATGCTAATAAAACACATGTATTGAAATAATCATTTTAATTCCGTCACTAATCTTGTCACAAGTTCCTTCATGGTTTCGGAACGTTTGGCGCTTGTCTCGAGAACCTCTTCGTGGTTTGTGATCCGCTGAGAGTCATAGTCCATAATCACCATGTTTGTGACAAGAGACATGGCAAAAACTTTGAGACCGCAGTGGGTGGCAACCATTGTTTCATGAGCAGTGCTAAAACCTGAGAGGAATAGAATTCAGATAGTTGTGCTTCCCACGTTATTCTGAATTTATTCAAAAATTAAACTTGAGTTGGGCACTCACCAGCTAAGTCAGCTCCCAACATCCTTAGCATTCGTGCTTCAGCTGGCGTTTCGTAAGGTGGACCACAGCTTGCGAAATAAACACCCTCATGCACAATCGAAGAAATTCCCATGTCATTTGCAATCTTTTTGGCAAGCTCCCGCAGGTCCTTTCCATATGTATTACTCATAGACGGAAAGCGGGTTCCAAATCTAAGGAGTTACACGGAAGTTTTACGTACCGATTGTCGTTTGGTCCAACCAGAGGGTTTTTTCCACTAAGAGATGGGAAATTTATATGATCCTTTAGGAATACGATGTCGCCGACATTGTAATTTGGATTTAAACCACCGGCAGCATTGGTAACGATAATATATTCGACACCCAGAAGTTTCATCACTCGTACCGGGAGGGTAACCTGTACCGATGACATATCATGGGTTTTGTACCTGAGACATTTCGTAGCCCTCGTATTGGTGAAAGCGGCCTTGCATGACCATTACATACTTTCCACCAAGATCTCCGAAAACAAGATTCCCTGCGTGGCCAACAACTTTTACCGTTATAACAAGCAAATGGGTTACCTGTGCTTTTTGGAAATTGCTTTATTTCCTCATATTTTATAATTATGGGATTCTTAACCGTCTCGGCGAGCGTACCCAGTCCCGACCCGCATATTATGCCAACTCGGGGTGTATATGAAACTTTTGATTTAATAAGTTTGCAGACGGCTTCCGCATCTTCGTACGAGCCCATTCTGCTGCAAAGAGCTATTTAAATTTGCCCTGCGCGACAACATAAATGAGGGTCATTTATAATAAATGTGTGTTTTGTTTATGAAGGTCGCTGTTTAAAAAAGTTAAACAAATACGTCGCACTAACATAATAAATTCACATAACCTGAGACATGCACATGTCTTCCATCTGTGTTGGGTCTCTAAGACAAGACACTCATATTAGTCGAAATTTCTATGCTCTTTCGGAAACGCGACTCGCTCACCCATTATTTCTCTGAATAACAGCATAATTTCTAGTGGTCTCGATGACATATGTCCTCAGTGGGCCTGAAAATCTGGAAAAGCTGTTTCAGTAGGCTTTAAATGAAGTATGGGATATATCCCCTCTTCTTTGTGTCCTTAAAGCTTGGATTTCTGCATTCGCAGCTCTATTTACATGCATTTTCAGGCGCCGTCTTCATTAAATAAATGTTTCAGATGAAACGCATATCATTTAATTTTGTTCTTTTTTGACATTCAAATGGCCCACCATAAAAATGTAAGCATTTCATTACACATCCCACTGCGGCTTACACACTACCCATTTGACTGTGTTCCTGCACACGTCGATTACATTTAACTCGTCCACAAATAATTGTCGAAAGCTGATGCTGAAGGTTTTTAAAAATAAAAAAATCACTAATGGTCAGTTATACTACACCTTACCTTGACAGTTCAGCTGATATCATTTTATTGAGGGAAGTAGGCGTAATCCTTTCAGTTTATGGATCTATCCATAAGCACATTATCGGTCCAGTTTATAATAGCAGAATTATTTAAGTAAACTTCTATAAAAGGCCACAGTAAAATGGCATTAGTAAGGCAAATCTTTCTAAATCTGCTGCTCAATTCTCCAGCCTAAGATCGTCAGCCCATTCTCAGCAATTCATTTCGTCTTTGCTTAGTTACAGCAATACCTTCTATAAAGCGGAGTCGGGCAAAGCAGAAATGTCAACTCCATTATTTAACAACTATGATACATTTGAAGGTGGTCTTAGCTGCTCAATTCTTCCGCCGTCTGATTCGCATCTCATCACTATCAATTCTTCTCCTGCAAGTATTCAGAAACAGGTTGCAGGCTTAGAAGGTCGTATTCGGTTAAATCTGATATCATCCCCGAATTTATGATTATGTAGCCAAAATATTTTCCTCCTCTACCTAGAAAACTATTCCTTTTTTTTAGAGAATGGTTCCTTCCCTGAATGTTGGAAAAGTTCTGTCATTATTCCAGTTTGGAAATCTGACTTTCGTCCTGATATTTTAAATTATCGGGCGTTCATACAGCGCCCTCTCTTGTTTCTACAGACAAGGTTTCTGATTTTTGCGTAGCCACTGAAGATATTAACGCCTCCTAACATAGTTTTTATCCGATCTCTCTTGCGAAATGTATCATATTTCTTTTCTAAACTCGCTCACTACTTTTCTCAATGATCGTCTATCCGTACTCGTTATTTATTTTGATCTTTATGAGGTCTTTGACAAAGTGCCAGGTACAAGACTTCTGGTTAAACTGGAGATTCTAGAAATGCATGGCCCCTTATTGTCTTTATAAATTCGTGCCTGTGTAATCGAAAACAAAAGGTCTATGTGGGGTCCCTGTTTTCCATTGAGGACGCTATTGGAAGGGGCGTCCTCCAAGGTACCACGTTAGGTCATGTTTTCTTTTTGCTTTGAATATATGATATTTCGTCTTTAGTTAGACAATCTAGCTCTTTGATTTATGCAGACGATCTCAAATGCGTGTATTCCTTCTCTAAATCTACGACTCAAAATCGTCTGGGATAAGTCCATGCTGAATTGCTTAAACTTTGCGTTTTGACCCCAACGGGCCAACGGGATTCTCTCTTTCTGAATGTTGTTACGATTGTTTTAGACCTAGAAGGTTACCCCAAACAACGTATTTTTTCAGGAAAAATTTATGACTGAATATTCCACCCCCGAAGGGCCTATGTTTAATCCACATCAATTCAGAAGATGAAGATGCGATCACTGGAACAAGAAATTTATTTGCCTGACGTTTCAGATTCTAGCTCGAATCCATCATCATAAACATTCGCAGATAATGGTGATGGTGGCACAAGGAGTGCAGTATTTATAGCACGTGGCTGCCGTGGGACCGTATGCGCGCTGCAATTAACACTTCACACAATCACCGCTGGGGTCGTAATTGATGCGATGGTGGCTTGTCGGTCCGAGTCCGAGTCGTTAATTGCCGCGATTTCGTCATCCGTGCTGGATGCTGGTGTGACGATCGCTCGGCAAATTGGCACACTGTCAACGTGATAATTGCTCACCTGCTTCATCCCCACGTGACTGATTCTTCTGCCCAGGGAAAATCGCAGCACGGAATATGGTACCGGGAGGTCATTGTGCTTGTTGATGGATTGCGGGCCTGAGAACCATGACTCGAGCAGCTCGCGGCTCACGCGGTTGTCACCCCGTGCGAGGATTTCGGCCCCTTGAAATTTGAAAATATGGCCGGATCCCGTCGAGTGTGCCGCCACCTGAGAGCTAGCGTCTCCCCGCCTCACTGCTGCTGCGTACTCTGCAATTCGCGTACAGAGTAATCTCCCAGTTTCTCCGACATAGTTGCTTTATCCGCAACTATACCAGATCCGGCAAACGACTCCAGACGTTTCCTGCCGTGGCAGCGGGTCTTTTGGCCTCATGACTTGGCGCCTAATGGTTTCTTCCGGCCTGTGTGCAACCCCAACTCCGAGTGGAGTGAGAAGACGACTGACGGATTCCGAGACGTTCTTCACGTACGGAAGATCCCGCCAAAATTTGGGGCCGGTGGGATTTGGTCTCTGGTGTCCTTTTCGTATGCACTGGTTGGCAAAGTTGCGCGGGTAACCATTGGCTCTCATTACCCGTCGAAGATATTATAATTCAGCAACCTTGTCTTCTATTTCACTGCAGTGCGTCTCAACGTGCCGGTATAGCGCCCTTACGCAACTGCGTTTGCGACTGATCGGGTGGTTGCTATTGAAGTTCAGTATTTGCGTCGTATTTGTCGCTTTCCTGAACACTTTGGTTTTTAGGCCCCCACAATCTTTGCGGCAGATGAGGACATCCAGGAAGGCCAGCTGGTTGTTTTCCTCCTCCTCCATCGTAAATTGAATGTCCGGGAAGACGGCGTTGATTTGTTCTTTGAACGTCAGCACCTGATCCCGTTCGATGACGACGTCATCCACATACCGAGCCCAAAATTTCGGTCTGTGGTGTCGGCGATCATACAACGGCTGGAGTCTCTGGTTTTCAGACACCACAGACCGAAATTCTGGGCCTGACACCTCAAAAAGTAGAGCCTTCTCATAATTTAAACAGATTCTCGAAACCATTTACTCCGTTTTCTAACATAAATCGTCCCTCATGTTATGCCCAAAATTCTCACAATCGTACTTTTATTCGCCCTATTTTTAAGCCCCATAAAGTCACATTCTTCTTCCTGGATCTTTCCCAAATGTGTTTCGATACAATGCTGTATCTTTAGTCGGTGGTAATAGCCTCAAAAATTTCAGAACACAGCAACCTTATTTTCCACCTATTGCACCTTTTCTCCAGCTCAATTTTTCTCCCACCGGCTCTTCTTTTTTGTAAGTAATAATTAGCGGAAGCTGTGTCCTAGGAATACGCTCAGTGTTATCTCTCTCAACGCAAACTCTATTTTGCAAATGATTCACAAACAAGAAGTGGGGACTTTGAGTCTGACCCAGATGTTTCCTGTAATACAGAATCTTGGGCACACTCTATTTTCAGACTCAGCACTCACCATAGATAGCTTCAGCTTATACCGACACGACCGTGTCGAAAGACGCTGCAGTGGTTGCCTTCTTTACATTAGAGCCTCAGTTACACATTCGCCTTATGACTTGCAAATTTTCTTTTCCTGGAAATCTTTATCTCGCTTTGGTAATCCTTCGGCAAAGTGGGAAAACATTAGCCGGATGGGTATTTAATCGTCCGTTTATCTCCGGAAATGAAATCAAACGATTTGACTTCTTTCAAAAAATCGCGGAGACTATATTCGATATCCATATAATCGTATGAGACTTCAATTGGACTGGCACACACACACATACTTCCTCTCCTTAATTCCAGAAGCCTCTAGATCCTATTTACTTTTCAGACTTGTGTAAATTAGTCCACCTTTCCACCAGAAACGATATTTTATTACACTTAATTTTCAATAATGGTATTTTTCCTCTATCTATGAATTTCCATCATGACCTTTTTAAAAGTGATCATGCATTAATCCATTGTCGTATTCCAGTTGCCATTTCCGCAAGGCCAACAGTAAAACGTAGCTAATTTGACTATGCTAATTCTAGCAGGGAATTAGTAAATGACTTCACAAGCTCTCTTGACTGCCACAATATTTTTTTCAAATTCCCGTCTAACTTTTTCCACGATTT